GGAGCTCCTCCGTGAGACTCGAGACCGGTGAGTGGTGCAGGTGTCGCTCATTATCAATTCCTCCACCGGCCTCGCTCCGTTCCCACGGCTCTCGGCCCCGCCCCACTCGTCACAGTGGATAATCGGACAAATAGTGGGTTTTTGGGATGGGGCGTGGCTTGGGAGTGGTCAGCGGGGGTCCGAGGGTCATTTGCCCACTTTAGTGGGCAATTGGACAAATATCCACACCATTCTGTGAGACAATATGTCCCAAATACCTAACAGAGGTCTGGAGAAATTTACATTTCTCTACTGAAAGCTTCAGTCCATACTCTTTCAAGCGATTTAGGACATGCAAAAGGCGGGTTTCATGTTCTTCTAACGTCTCAGAAAATACGATAAAATCATCAAAAAATACCAGGACTTCAGTGAGGTTAATGTCGCCCATACACTTCTCCATAAGTCGTTGAAATGTGCTGGGAGCATTCGTTTTCCCCTGGGGCATACGATTGAACTCCCAAAACCCCAGGGGACAAACAAAAGCAGTTTTGGGCTTATCCTTTTCCTCCACTTCAATCTGGTAATAGCCAGATTTAAGATCAAACACTGAAAACCACTTAGATCCACGGAGTGCCGAAAAGGCTTCCTCGAGATTCAGAAGTGCGTAAGCATCCTTTATGGTCTGTGTGTTCAATTTACGATAATCGATACACAGCCTCACATCGCCATTTTTCTTTTTGACAACCACAATGGGTGACGAAAAGGATGATTCCGATTCCCGGATGATTCCAGCCTCAAGCAACTCTTCCAGATGTCGACGAACCGCTTCAAAGTCCTCAGTATGGGTCTGGCCCTGTGCTTGAAAGGAGTATTATCATAGCTATCATTATCATAGCTTGATACTGTGCTTAACCTTGTCAGTTCGTCCAACATCAAAATCATGTACAGCAAAAACTTCTGACATGTCCCGTAACTTCTGGGTAATCATCTCCTTCCATTCTTTAGGTAATGGAGGGTCGCTGAAATCAAAACAGAGTTTCTTTGTAGACTTCTCTTCTACTTTTGAGGACATGTCTCCCTTCTGAGCGCTCTTATTTGAAATTACTCTCTGTATGGCATGGACATCCGCAATTACACTCTTTCCAGGAATGGTGATATCGTGCTCTGTCTCATTTTTAACCACTACAGGGACTTTACAAGATGGATGCTTAGGTAAGTTAAAAAGACAGCTAGAGATTAAAAGTCCTCCAGGAACAGAAGAATGAGAGGGGGGTTCCATTACTACCCACCTATCTGTCACTTGTCCCTTTACACTTACGACTCCCTCCAAGACAAGATTCTGCCCTGCAGGTACAACAGCGGCATCAGCGCTGGGGAGTCTAACAACTCCTACACTGCTGTTTACTCTTTGAGTCCTTCGATACTCAATTGTTTTCACTACTGCCTTATAGCCGAATGGAATAGATTTGCAGACAGAGTCATTTATTTCAAGATGTTTCCCATATGCCAAATCTAAAGTATTTGTACCTTTACCTTAAGTATTAGCACTTTTGGCTGAGTGGTGCCACTGGTATCTGGAATAACCAGTGCAAGTGTCGACACTTCCACAGTACTCCCAAGAAAATCTTCAGGAAACTTGACCCTCATTTCTACATACCCCAAATAGGGTACTACCTGTCCATTCGCAGCCTCCACTTCCAAAAGATTCTCCAAAGGGATTATACTTAGTTCAGGCAGGTTTTGCTCATGATAGGATTGGGAGATTGTCGTCATTTGCGACCCGGTGTCCAGGAGGCAGGAACATAGTTTCCCTTCTATGTATACTTGAGCAGTACACTTTGCCCATATCAGCCCCTTTGGGAGGCTGGCCAACGGACTTCTACTATGGGAAAACTCAGAACTACTCCTTCCTGTGGATCCTTTGAGACTAGTTTTGCATATGGTATCCCTTGTACGTCTCGCTACAGGGGCTAATTCTAGTTTAAAGGCACTGCTGGCGGTCCCACAGACTTTGTCGTTCTCTCAGCTGCTTCCGTTTTTCATTCACTAAAGGTGGGTTGGGATCGCTCTCGCAACCAGATGCGATATGTCCATCTTCGCCACAGCGGAAACAGTAACCTGGCTTAGGTCTATCTTGGGACTTTTGCACAACAGCTGAAGCAGTGGGCTTAGAGCAAGCTTGTTTGGTCTCACGGTTTCCTTCTTGCTTTAGAGGCTTTTGGGATCCTAGCTTTGTGAACTGACTCTGAAGTTCTGCAATCTGTTTCTTCAATTCAAGCACATCATCACTTTGCAGTGGCACAGGTTTCTCTGTCTTTTTAGCTTTCTGCTTACTGAGCTGACTTTGAAGTTTTGTGACTTGCTGTCTCAGTTCTGCAATTTCACTTCCCTCCAATGCTGCACCCTGCTCCCAGTCAAAAGAGCTTGTGGCTACCACATTGGAGCTGACTTTTTGACGATGCACATTCAGATGCTGACGCATACGGCTCTCTTTGGCAGAATGTCGATTCTCTTCACTGCGCACTGCAATAGCTGTTCAGAGAATGAAGGTGGACTGTCTCGTTTACCCTCAAGCTGAAGGTTTGTTATTAACGTGTCATTCCAACAGCCTCGGCAGAACTGTTTCAAGAGCTGTTTATCAGCTTCAGCATTGGAAACTGCACCTCTTTTCATTGCTTTTAAGAGAGCTGTTTGTAAATGCTGCAGATACAAGGAGGGCTTTTCTCCTGCATTTTGCAATGTGTTCAAGAATCTTGCAAAAAGATCGTCCCCATCCTCGACTGCATCGAATGCAGAATCCAGAATGTCAAGGTATGCATTAGGTGGGGCTGTTGCACCCAAATGTCTCACAATTTCTGATGCTGGAGGTAACAAACTGTCTAATATTTTCCTGGAACGGTGCAAATCAGAAAGAGAGTCATCTGCTCTCAGATGTCTACTAACACGTCCATGTTTATTTAGAAAGTCAACTAGGTCTTCATCAAGCTCAGTGTCAGTTAACCCACGAACTATCACTGAGTTCGCAACTTTAACATTTTCCGTTTCAACAATATCCATGTTTCTTTGAACTAATGTAAGCTCAGGTCTGTATAATCTGATTTTTTTTGTTTTCCCTTTTCAGGAACTTCAGAAACCCATTCAGAAGATATTTACTACCACTGTTCTCCTGGCTGGCTCGCCAAGATTTGTGTAACAAGTGCCCTCAACATAAGCTGGAGCAATGGACCAGTTTCTAGGTTAGTGTAGAACAGAATTAATACTGGCAGTAAATGAATCACAAAGTCATGTGAGGAAGATACTCAAAAAATATGTATTGTAATTGAACAATCACCTGAATGGCATGAAACAAAATTTGAAACAACAACAACAATAATAAAAATAAAATGATACACAAAATATGAATTCTCTGTTGTCTTTGGTTTTCTTCTCTTATTCTTTTAAGATTTGTTTTCTCTCCATGTTTTTCTTAAACAATTTAATGTAAGTTATCTACGCTATCTCTGTGTACGTAGATTTTAGTAAGACTTTTTTTGGGCTTTTTGAGTTTAGGGTTCTTATTCTATTTTGCTTTTAGCTTTATTACTTTCTATACCGTTTAGACAAACCAAATAAACCCTTAAACAAGATACAATGTTATATACCCAAAATTCAACCAAATTGGAACTTCTTGACACAACTAAAATGTTAAAATAAAAATAAAAATAAATCCAAAATTTACATCCGACTCACATTCAATATCATTCAATAAACAATACTCGTTAGAACTCTTTGTCTGAATTGTCTGTGAATATCGTCCAGAAAGTACTGTAAGAAATTCAGTGGGTGAGTGCAAAATCAGTTAAATCCTACCAGTTCAAAGAAGTACCCGAACAAAAGAGAATGTCCTCCCAATTGAAGAAAGTTGAAGAATTTAAGGAATCCTTGTGACGCAGCAAAAGTGTCTTTTTCCCAGGTTCAGAAATCAGCATTACATTTTTTTCTTGGTGGCCCGCCATCTCAAATCCATGAGAGAGGTTTTCAACTCAACCAATAAACCTGTCATTAACATTCAAAATTATCTCTATATCATTTTCTCTTTAAACTGAGTGTTTAAACATCCATATCCACTTTCATAATGAACGTGTTATCTTACAGGCATATTGAGAATATGGAAATTAATATTCATTAATTGCTAAGCAGAATATATCACTCAAAATTCCAAAATAAATCATATTAACAATCAGAAAATATGCAAACAATCTTTACAACATGCATAATGATATGCATAGTAACAAAATACATCTTTCAAAAAAAATAAAATACATATAAACTCACCAAATCCCGAGCTTCACAGTTTGATAAACACTCGCTTCAGATTCAAAGGAGCTTCACAATCGGCTAGCATCCACGCTTAAATCAGCAATCATCATTCTAAAACGATTTATCATTTATCATCATCAACCATAAAGTATTATAAAGTTGCTTATAACCACATTAAATTAATTATTACAATATAAACATTTTTAATCCCTTTTGTATCGTTTTCATCTCGTGTTCAGTGCGTCTCTTGCACTTCCGTGAGTCATCTGCCTACGTCATACACAACTCGTGTACGTTTAATACATCACATGTTCTGCACTCAATTATAATACGAATTATTTTTATTTATACATAATTAATTCACAATGCATATTAATAGATCATTTAACTTTTTTAATTAAAAGTGTAACTATTAGAATATACAATTATATTATTTATTTTCTTTAGGCACCACATTTAACATGGGTTACAAAAAGGTCGGAAGACCGAATCCTTGTTTCATGTGGCGCATTCGGGGAATTTTTTTTTTCCTGAATTACCGCTGGGTGTGAGTTGCGCTCAAAAAACATGTCACCTTATCCTCTCTGACAAGCGTTAGGCACGTGCAGCTGACGTAAACCACACTTTCAGTTAACAAATAAAAATCCTGTGCAGTGATGAAGCGTTTTCTGTGTTGACACAAATTTTTGCAATGTCCTAACAGCCGGGATTAGCACACATCGCATCCATGTGCACTAATGTCCGATTCACGACCTAACGACTCCTTTGAACTGATTCATTTTATTTAATGGTTAAAACAAGTGATCTGTCCAACACTGAACTCACGAGACATCACTGTCTGAATCGGTTTATAACAAATCATTTACTCAGAACATCTCAGAAAATTAGATCGTAAGTGTGTTTACCCCATTTAGCAAGAGTGGTTAGTAAGATTTAGCCTTAATAAATCACAGTATTTTCATGTTATTTATATGACAATGTGTAGTAAATTACCTATAAAATCATTTAGTTTAGACTGGAGTGAAGTGAAACCAGACCAAAGCACAAAGCAAGTTGCTGTTATCTAGCTGCTAATTTTATTCAATTGTATATGGTAGAAAATTATACTATTAGTTAAATACATTTTTAATGCTACTTTTTAAATGGTACTCTTTAATATTTATATAATTATCTTCCAAAATAATTATCAGGTCTAGCAAAAAAAGCATCTTATCTTACAAAGCTATGAAGGCCAGTGGAAAAATCACAGCTTTTTTTTGCAAAGAGGCCAAGAAAGGATGACAGTGAGAGAAGCCTAATTTGGAAGAGGTTGTAAAACTGAATAATTCTCAGTCACAGTCTGGAAGAAAATGCGGCCAAATGAATAAATAAATAAAATGAGCAACCAAGTGTAATAAATGACCAATTCGTTTTTTTTTTCTAACTACTTTGGTTATGGTAATGTTTACATAAGTAGTTATAAGCACGTTGTTTTATTATCTGTCCTGACAGTGATTGTTTTTTATTTAATGAATAAATAGGATAAACAAAAATCACAAACTGTTTCTTTGCATTTATTTTAAACTTATTGTCAGTATTGGGATCACGTGGGTAGGGAACTTTTTACTGTGTGTATGGATGACTGTCAGCCACCACCGAAAACCATTTTTGACCCAGGAAAAACCAAATGATTTGCACCTGCATACCCTGCATACACAGATGCTATGCAACTGGCTGGGACCACGCTACAGGACTAGCAGAAACATTCTGACCTCAACACTTAAAAGACCGTCACCATCGACTGGAGCAAATACTTTGACAGACAGAGAGGAGCACACACCTAATTACTGAGTCAGTCTACACACTTAACGACTGGCACATCACGACTAGACAAATTCTGCCGAACCAAAAAAAAAAAAGCAACTCACAAAAACAGCGCGCTCCCACAGCTGTTCCCGCCCCACCAAATACAACACTGCGGACAACACAGTGCTTTTAGCTATTGAAACGTTAAGGTTTGTTTTACTTTTCTTAGTTTGTGATTAATATAACAAAAAACATTAGCTTTCCTGCTATGTTAGTGTTCCTAATAAATGTCACAGCAATGTGTCTTGAATATGTTTTGCATTAAGTCCGATGCTTCTCTTTCTTTTTGGAATTATTGCTTGAAAAATACACATTTCATTATATATTTTCAAATGCCTAGGCCTATGTTTAATTCCCTTAATTATAACATTTCTAGCGTTATTTTTAAACGTTCAGTCAAACAATAATATGTTATCCCATGTGTCTAAAATCAGGGCTTAAAAATGAATTGGTTTTAAGTAAAATTACGATTAAGATTTTTTTTTGTTACATTTCCCGAGTTACAGGTTAGAATGAAATAAAACATTACTTAATGAATTCAAGGCACTGTAATTTCCTTATCCATTTGATATGTCAAATGGACATATCAAATGTACCTGTATATATATAATATAAACTATTATATATATACAGGTACATCTAAAAAAATTAGACTATCATGAAAAAGGTCAATATTTTTTGTCACTCATTTCAGAAAGTGAAACCCATATATTATATAGATTAATTACACATAGAGTTAAATATTTCAAGCCTTTATTTCTTGAAATTTTGATGATTATGGCTTACAGATAATGAAAACCCAAAATTCAGTGTCTCAGAAAATTAGAATATTGTGAAAAAGTTCAATGTTGGAAAGTCATGGTGTCACACCCTAATCAGCTAATTACCTCAAAACACCTGCAAAGGTTTCCTGAGCCTTTAAACCAGGGATGTCCAAACTCGGCCCTGGAGGGCCGGTGTCCTGCAGAGCTTAACTCCAACTTGCCTCAACACACCTGACTGGAAGTTTCTATGCCTAGTAAGAGCTTGAGTAGTTGGTTCAGGTGTGTTTAATTAGGGTTGGCGCTAAACTTTGTGGGACACCAGCCCTCCAGCGCCGAGTTTGGACAGCTCTGCTTTAAATGGTCTTTCAGTCTGGATCAGTAAGCTACACAATCATGGGGAAGACTGCTGACTTGACAGAAGTCATTTACACCCTCCACAAGGACGGTAAGCCACAAAATTTCATTGCTAAAGAAGCTGGTTGTTCACAGAGTGCTGTATCCAAGCATATTCATACAAAGTAGAGTGGAAGGAAAAAGTGTG